CGGGGTTGTACTCTGGAGAACCAAGCTCTTTGAGGCTGCGAATAATCTCAGGTACATCATCAGAGAGAAAGTACTCATGAATCATAGAAACAGCCTCTTTCTTGTACCTCCTCAGCTTCTCATGTTCATCATCTTGGACATCCCCATTGGCACCTACATGTACAAACGAAGAGTCGAGCCATCCTTCAGAAACTGCTTTTGATACCAATGTCTGGAATTGAGATTTTGCAGATGGTATATCAAGAGATAGGTCATCAAGACTATCTACAACACGAGAAAATCCCTTCATCATCTGACTAGAGCTTATCAGCAATTCCTCAGATGCTTCCTTCAGAAGCTTGACAATAAGAGCTTCTGCAGTTGGACTCTCCATTCCAAGAGTGAGAGCTCGCTTGACAACCTCATGGTGAAAAAATGGCACTGCCAATTCTCTGATGCACCTACACGCCTCAGCTGTGTCACCATTCTTAATATATTCCTTAAGAAGATCAGTAATCCTCAACTTTACAGCGTCTACTGTGGTGCGAGTTGAACCACCCCATCGCCGTTCAAGCAACTCTGCATGGTGGGGTGCTGAAAGATAGCTCTTTTCTGCAATCTGTACAACTTGCATCCCCTTTGAAGACTCGGAGAGACTCGCTTTTTCCCTGCTGAGAAAAGCAGGTGGCAGAATGTCATCAACAACAGCTCGTGCAATGAAAAGAGCAAGAACATCAACCGCGTCAAGTATGTCAACAGCCAAGTCATCAACAGCCTCTAGCAGCATCACAAAGCCTAGTCTGATTTGGGTAGAACTGATCACATCACCATAAAGAGATGATAAAAGCACTGACGCCATCTCTTTCTCCTTGTCATGCCTATCCATTGCCATGGAAACAAGCTTCTTGACAAAGTAACGGTGGAAATCATCATAACCCAACTCTTTCAGATCAGAAGCAGCCAATTTAACATCACCAGTGCTGAAATATTCCTCAATAATTGGGGCAACAGATTTCTTGTAGTCCTCTACTGGGGTTGAAACAGGGGCTTCAACTAGTTCATATGGTTCCTGATTACCAGAAAAAGAACATGAATGTCCATACGTCTGGCTGGACTCTAACCACATATATTTAGACAATACTGGATACAAGCTAGATGTTTACCAGTTTCTCCAAAATAGCAGGTGTCAAACAATTCATCGGTACATAAATGTGCAAGTGGCTAGAGTTCATCGATACATAAAAGTGCAAGTGGCTAGAGTACATGGTCAAGACCATTAAATATTACCTCATCACTGTCATAGTTTGGGTCATTGCGGTCAAGGCATGCATCTGTGTCTGTATCTATAAGTTTTCCCCAGGTACCTTTGCCACCAGCACCATCTGAAATAGAAGCTCAGCAAGTCAGATATGAGAGAGAGAGAGAGAGAGAGAGAGAGAGAGACTAATCTTTGGCTCAGCAGAAGTAGAGATATAGATGTAATGAGAACAATATTGGAGAGTGCAATAACTTTCCTGGTGAAATTGTGTGTAGAATCCCAAATACACTAACTCATTGGAAATTTAGAACTAGCAGAGAATGGACACTAGAGAGTATTGTAGTGTCCTAAAAATCATAAAACCAAACTACTGATAAGGGGGATGAACTGAACATAAGAAATATTTTTATGTACTCCTGCATTCAGCGAACACCCACCAGCAAAAGGTAGGTTAGTTAAGCATAAATACTATAATGACAACCTTTGACCGTCCTAATCAATGGACAGTTCAGATGCCTTCCCTAATTAATCAGCATAAAACTCATTTATAATCATTGCCTTGAGCCATCACACTGGAGAAATTAACATGTAACATTATGCAGTCTCCTTTTGCCAAAAACTACAATATACAGAAGTATACAAGATTTGATGTTACTAAGCGATTCAGTTTATGCATATGTATAGATGGGGACTAAATGCCGTCAACTAGAATTGTCAACTGAAATTATAAGAATAATTCTTAATAAACATAGTCCAGACAGAGAAGGCAATCCCCACCCTATATGATATGAGAGTCCCACAGATAGCTCAAAATGGCACACAATTTTGTAAACAACACCAGGCAACCATTACTTGATAAACTAGAAACTCCTCCATAATAATTAAAACTGCATTAAGCTAGCAAAAAGATACAAGCAGAATGAGGGGGGAAAATCAAGTGTGTTGACGTGATAAGAGATGTATAGTGGCAGATGGACGTCCTGTCGCACATACATGACAAATCAGAGATATGAACTGACTGAAAGTTGTTATCAAGATCAAATGTGTACAATCGATGCCTTTATGATATGGCACCTCCAATCCTACTAGCGATGCGGAAAGAACATACTAGCGACAAAAAGAATCTCACGAGTAACAGAATAACTAATCCAACCAACTAATCAGAAATTACTAGATGCCCAAATCATATAATTGTCGTGACCCAACTAAATCCTCCTCCTATAGGTAGCTGAGAGAAACACCAATCAACACGCACACGGAATCCCATATTTGCATGCAGGAGTAACCATCAACACACCAAATATCTGATTACTAACCAAAAACTCAAAATGCAATACTTCCCTACTTAAACCATGACATTCCACAAATTCCCTAAGCAAACATTCAAGCACATTCATGTTTCCCCTAATCGATTTAATCAATTCTATATATGAATATATATAATAGACAAATACCACAATATATACCTACTAAATATAACTAAACCCAATACCATGAAACACTAACTCACACTACAACTGCACTGACATATTTCTCAAATAAACATTGGCAACTATATCAACCTAATGGGTAAAGTCACATTCCAATCATCCTAAACAAGACGCCACAACACTCAATATATGGATAAATAATAATCAGCAGGTAGCAATGATAATTATTAACAATAGCAGCAGTGGTCACATCCTATATCCTAATCAAGCATGCCAAATCTCTAGAACCACCACAACAACAGTAAGGAAGGCAATAAACCGAGCATAAATAGATCAAGCCGGAGCCACCTCACCTTTCTTCACCTTAATGGTCTTCCCGGAATGCGACCGCCGCACGTGCCTCACCCCACCCCCACCCCCACCGCCGCCGCCGCCCCTGGCCGCAGCCGCCGCGGCGGCGGCGCGCTGCTGCTCGTACTGCTGCAGGAGCGCGGAGGTGGAGCCCCCGGTCGGCGAGCGCGGGGAGGCGAGCGACAGCGTCTCGGCGTTCTGCACCGCGATCCGCAGCTTCTCCCGCTGGTCCTGCGTCAGGAACCCCTCGTTCCTCGGCGACGCCATCCCCACCTCAACTCCTAATCCCACCACCACCACCTGCACCCAAAAAATTACACCACGCATCAGCACCGGCCGCCGCCGAAATGGGGACTCGAATCCGCCGCCGCCTCCGCGGCGGAGGTTGCCGTACCTAGGGTTTCGGCCGCGGATCGAGCCTGAGCCGCCGCCGCCGCCAACCCGTGCGCGAGATTTGTGCAGGCGAGGCGAGTGGTAAATTTTTTTTTCTACGCTCCTTTTTTTTCCCTTTTTTTTTCTCTCCGAGCGAGTGAGTGAGATGAGAGAGAAAGGATAGGGAGGGTGGCATTTTATACGGAGGCGGATTGGGATTCGGGGGGACACGTCGCCCGCCCGCGCCCGACACGCCGTGGGGCTCACGTCTCGTGGGCCCCGCATGTCATGGGGGTGCGCGTGTCCTGTGGGCTTATCCTTTTTCTCGGCCCGCTGGTTTTTTGGTTTGGGCCGGCTGGCCGGCCGCTCATCCCTATCCTCTTTCCACGTGGCACTGCCAGCCTCACCTCGTGTCTCACCACACGTTTCACTGACATGTGGGGAACATGATACGGCGGACCCACATGTCAGTGAGTGATGGGGGTGTTTTTGAGGAGGTGGATCGGGCCGTGGGAGTTAGGGTTTTGGCCGTGGGGGAGGAAAGGGGATTAGGATCTTCTGCGGCGGTGGTTAATGGTGGGTGCGTGTGTGTTTTTCTGTGGGCGGTGGTTATGAATGATTGGGTGGAGTGGATAAGGGGATGAGATTCATGAGAATGACGCGTCGGGAATAGTCAAGCAAGATTCAGTGTGCACCTGACCTGATCTGACGATGAGATCAACCACCTGATACACACGTGATTGTTGATCCATGATCTCATTAGTGGTACCGTCTATTCAAGGTACAGACAACTGTATGTGCACCTAAAAATTTTATCATCTTTATTGGGAGAGAAATTCCCAGTTGTTTGTTTCTTCAGCTGGGAATTTTTATTTACAGTGATGATTGACTCTATCTGAGGTGTTGTAGGCTTGCCCATTAGGACACCCACAATGGTTATCTATAGGCTTTTTACAAGAGATCTATGTCAGCATATTTTCCTACTTGGAAGAGATTAAATGAAGAGAGGAGCAAAGCTATCTTACTAACCTAGAGATAGTTTATAGAGAAAAACGAGACAATGTATTAGAGAGCTATAGATACCCATGTAGACATACTATTGAGGTGGTTTACTATTAATTTAGTCTATTGCTGACATGTACATGTTTTATAGATAGCACCTTATTTTACCATTGCGGGTGCTCTTAGTATGCTCTACTAGTGGTGTCTCTTGAGCTTATCCACAAATGAAGTGCTAGTTAAGCAAAGGTTTGATTGATAGCGCCAGCTTTTAATGGAGGAGGTAACGGCGGCAGGGCAGATGCCGACTGGTTCTTGTTCTGCAACTGCAAGCCCAATCAACTACACCATACTTGGGCTGTCTCACCTGTCGTATCTGGGCCGTGTTATAGGCCGGCCTGATTAATGGCCCAGTAGTCAGCTCAGAACTTTGTTCAACTTAGATCACTGTAAATTTGTACAGGCAACTCTGTGCACCTAAAAACTGACGAGATCAGATCAACTTCAGTGAAAAAAAAGGGTACTAATTCTAATTAATCTTTGTTATCTGATACTCTAATCAAATTAACCACAAGTATAACCCAGATCAAAGTGACAGAACCAAAATCGCATTGTCCTGGAATCATCAGGTAGTACTCCACTTTTTAATTCACTGTTAAACAGCAGACAAAATCACTTTGAATTCATTTCAAAATTCAGAACCAAAACAAAACACTCGCTAAACAAGACCAAGCAAAAATCAAAATCAAATACGCGACATTGCGAGAGCATAGAAGCAATCGCAGCTTATTGTTACACTACATTATAAAACAAAAATATCAATTCGTCATAAAGCCTCAGTACTTGTAGTCCTTGACGTGGAGGTTCTCGGAGACGCCCTCGCCGGCGGCGGCGTCGCCGGCGTACGCGCCGAGCGTCGCCTGGGAGTTGGCCCTGCAGCGGGCGAGCAGCGCCGCCTGCGCCTTGCCGACGTTCTCCGCCTTGCCGGCCCACGCCTTGAGCGTGCTCTGCTGCAGCGCGCGGCCGAAGGAGAAGGTCAGCGACCATGGCTTCTTGCCCCTGCTCGCCACCTGGTTCATGGCGTTCAGGTTCCTCGTCGCCTCCTCCTCGCTCTGCCCGCCGGACAGGAACACGATGGCCGGCACCGCCGGCGGCACGGTGCGGAGGAGCGCGCGGACGGTGTGCTCGGCGACCACCTCCGGCGGCGCCCTGGCGGCGTCGGAGCCCGGCGTCACCATGTTGGGCTTGAGGAGGGTGCCCTCGAGGAGGACGTGGTGGTCGCTCAGCGCCTTGTAGCACGCGGCGAGGACGCGCTCCGTCACCTCGGCGCAAGCCTCGATGCCGTGCTCGCCGTCGACGAGGATCTCCGGCTCGACGATGGGGACCAGCCCGTTCTCCTGGCAGATGATGGCGTACCGCGCGAGGCCCTGCGCGTTGGCGTCGACGGCGAGCTGCGACGGCCTGGACGACGCCCTGCCGATGCTGAGCACGGCGCGCCACTTGGCGAACCGCGCGCCGGCGGCGTAGTACCGCCTGCAGCGCTCGCCGAGGCCGTCGTGCCCCTGTGTCGTCGTCTCGCGGTCGGTGCCGGCGAGCTCGACGGTGCCCTTGTCGACCTTGATCCCGGCCAGAACGCCGGCGGCGGCGAGCACGTCGACGAACGGCGTCCCGTCGCGGGTGCTCTGGTAGAGCGTCTCCTCGAACAGGATGACGCCGCTGAGGCAGTCCAGCGCGCCGGGCGCCGTGAACAGGAGCTCCCGGAGCGCGCGGCGGTTCTCCTCGACATTCTCCACGCCGATGCTCGCCAGCCGCTTCCCGATCGTGCCCGTCGACTCGTCGGCGGCGAGGATGCCCTTCCCCGGCGTCCCAATGTACGCCGCGTTCCTGATCAACTCATCTGAAAAAAAACAAAAAAAAAACCCATAAATCATTGATCAAGAAGCAGAAACGCATGGCTTACTCATCGAATCAAGAAATGCATGTGTTGCACAAGTGTTTTTTTTGGATAATGGAATATAAATCCATCTCCGCCTTCGCTGAAACGAGCTACAACCAATTATTACACCAAATCGCTCAAAACGAGTGCAACTCAAAGAGAACTTAAAAAAAAACTTTTCCAAACATAAAGCGAACACAAAATCATAAACGAAGCTTACTGTACCCTTGTACTTGCCGCAGTAGGCCGACATGATTGACAGATGAGAGAAACGAAAGCTTCTTGGAGGAGAGGTGATCAGAAGGAAGAGGAAGAAGAAGAAGATGCAGAGATGGCGGGAATGGGATGGAGAAAATTCTTGTGGCGTTGTGGCCTATTTAAACAGCTCGGAGCTCTGAAGCTGGAGGTGTCGGAATGTTGGGTGGTCAGAGGAAGCAGACATGGTTTTGGCTTTCTCTGCACATTGTTTTTCGTTTTTTTCTCTTGAGAATTATTGGCGCCATGGGGCCATGGAGAAAACTGTGTTGCTTTTGTCCTTGCAGTATTTTATTAGCGTTGGAAATTAGTCTTTCTCCAACTAATCGGAAGGAGAAACTAATGAATATGCGTGGAATTCTAGATTGATTGGTTGTTATTTTTCCTCCCTTTGAGCTCATCGATCATGACTTCTCCCAGTTGAATTCTCCGTCCAAAGAAATAGGCTCTCTTGTTTCTAAGCTTCCAAGTTCCAACTTGTTCTCTTCTCCTGACAGGAAAGTTGACCCTCGTGAGATCTTCTTCTTCAGAAACATGTTGCGTAAATACCTTATGGAAATATTTTGATTTGCTGAAACCAAGCAATTCAGGGTATCCCAAATTTCTGTGCTTTTTATGTGATGCAGACCAAACAACTTTTCTAATTTCTATGCCGGAATTGCTAGAATTATAGCGTCACATTTTTCGCTTAATTTCAGTCATTTTATCCCTATGTGATTGTCTCTCTCCTATTTGTTCCTATATGTAAGGATGCTTTTTATATCTTCTATCTATTTAAGATAATAAATTACTTTTAATCCTAACTGGATAAAACCCATGTTTTGTATGATAATATATAGTAGAAATAACATGTAAAATAGCTAGACAATATAATTTTGTAATACTTTATATAATTTTCATCTTTGACCGACTATTGAAAAAAAATGTTCGAACAATTAAGATGATGTGGTTTATAATTCAAATTATACATAGATTAATCATTCCAAAGCAAAATTAAGGTGAGAAGAAAAGGAAGGAAGATATATAGATTAATCATCCGAAGACAAAACTAAAATGATATGACTTCATAAAATAAGAAAAAAGAGAGATAATTTGTAGCGTAGATCAACCATCCAAGAGCTAAAAATAATAAATGTGATGTAACTTAATGATAGAAAAGAGAAATAACATTAACAACACTTAGTGGGAATGAACTTTATAAATATATAGGATTCTCTTGTACATTGTTTATTAGAAAAATTACAGTGTAATGTATATAGGATTCTCTTGGCAAGTCGAGAAAATCCAAGCCCAAATTTGACTTAGAAATAGAAAAGAAAAAGATCAAGGAGGGCCTCCAAAAGAATCTCTTGAATATCAAAGCAAATGGGGATAGCATGTGAGTGCCTTCCTTTTTTTTAGCTAGCTATAGTTGTTTTGAGGTCTCACATGTAAATATGAGAAAACATAAAGGAGGATACAATTTGTATGATTACATGCATGGATCATGCTCTGATCTGATACATAGCTGCAAAGAGACCATTTGTGTGCAGGCACAAGTGACTGATCCCATGCATCTGCAGCACAACACCAGCAGATTCGTGGCATTTGAATTGACCAAATAATGTTAAAGTCATACACACGGAATTCAGATAGTGTTCATTACAAAGTCGGAATTAAGGTACAAGCAGGAATTTAGTTAGAAAAATAAAAGGGTACACAAGGATGGATTATGCCTACTGCTCCGATCAGGAGCAGTGAGCATTTGGGCGTACATATAAATGCAAAAGGTAAATATTTAGTAGGGATTTAAACCGACTTAATCCCCCTTTTTACCTGTGCTGTAGCAGCGTTTTTGATTGTTCTGTTTGGGATAACTCCCTGTTTTTGGAGCTTTCTGAGACTGCGGATTGCTTGTGTAATGATTTCTCTCTTCTTCTTAAGATGAAACAGGCAGAAACTCCTGCATTTTGCCTTGAAAAGGAAAAAAAGGAATTAGGTAATGGAATGGAAGTATGGCATGATGGTACTTATAAAAGCGCAGATTTATCAGAAATTCAGAATTCAAGTAAAAGCTCGGTGTGTACCGATCGATGAAGCCAGCTAGCTTGCTAACTATAACTGCATCTGTTGCTCGATAGAGACGAGTGTTTTGAAGATGCCGACGAGAACGCCGATGACGGAGAACACGGTGACGATGATCCTGTAGTTGTTGTAGAGGAACTTGTGTATGGGAATCCACATCCACCTTTTTCGCTGGTAGGCCTCAAGATGTGCCAGCAAGCATACGTGTTGCGGGGGGAGGCTAATGAGCCCGGCAAGGTTCTTCAGAAAACTGAGCGTGCACTTGTCACTGAATTTGCCATGCAATATACCCTTCAGCCGCAGCTCGTGTACTTCTTCCTTCCGGTTCATTAGCATCGCGAGGAGGGATATGTACGAGCTGACCGTTTGCACGTCATTCTTACCAGTAAATGCCAAGTAAGACTCGAGCGCCACCATGTTGAGGAGCCAGCATGCATTGAGGTCGTCCATGACCAGCGGTGGCATGGAGAGCTTGCCGAATAGGAGGCCTTTGCTTATTTTCATGTCCGCGAACCATGACGCCTCGGTGGCGACAACATCGATGCCGATTTCTGCAAGCTCGATGGCGCTGCTAGATTGTCGCAGTGCAGTAGTGACCCCTTCAGGGCGCTTGAGGACCCAGCTGCTTTCACCAAGCTTGCTCAATCCTGATTGGTAGTATCGGAGGAGGCCAAGGAGATGTGGTTTGCAGCTAATTTCATTCAAGTCGAAAGGATTAATGTTATCATCCAACCTGACATTGAAACTTGCCCCTGCATTAGAGATGAAGTTATCCACGGGCACGGGTACGGGCATGAAGGTCATCAGGGCCTCGAGCACAACCCACGGGATCTGGTTCTCCAGCATAAACATGTCCCTCAAGATGCTAGGTTGCTTGGAGCCGAACCAAGTTTGTAACAATGGGTCAACGGCTACATCGCACATATGAGCCATAAATTGCAGCAAGAAACAACCATCGCGTATCATCATAGCTGCAAACTCGGCTTTTCGAACGCCTACTACCGCATCGCCCTCGTAGCAGCTTCGGGCACCGCTTGCGATGGGGAGGATCTTCCAGTATACTTCATCTGCCGAGTGCCCTGTGTTCTTGCAGAAATCGCAGACGGCACTCCACTTGATCTTCTCCGCCTCCTGAAGGTGGCGTGCACCATGGTGGTAGGGGCCAATTGCCACAACACTCGGGACGAAGTAGCGGTAGTAATCCATTTTTAGATTTTGAAGAATCGCAGGATACCTGCAGATATGGAAGATGAATTACACCTTTGGCTTCTACATGCAGGGCTTGTGCACATCAACCATAGTTCTTGTGATTAATCTTTGTTTATCCTATATTAATTGGATGTCCTCCTAGAAACCTATAGCCCATACAAGAACACAAAATGTCAAGCAGTGGAGATAGGTAAGGATAACAACCCAGTTCAGCTCGGGTTGTTAACTTTAACGAGTTAAAATCCTAGCTAAGTGTAAGCTGTGAGTGTCTGCGTTTGTATTGTGCTTCTAAAAAAAATCCTAGCTAGCGCAGCTCGCTCGTTAAGCTCGTTATGCTCATTAATTAACGAGCTATATATATATATCTCATTTGTATTACATGTACAATTTTAAATTTACCATTTTATCATATATTAACGTAATAATAAACAATAATTAGCAAAGAAATCACTAAATACAAATATATAGTTTGACTATAACTAAAAGACTAATTAAGTAGTAGTTAACAAGAGTAATTAAGTATATAAAGATACGATGATATTTTATACTAGTGAGCTAAATGAGCAGCTCACGAGCTGGCTTGTTAAGCTTACACTGAAGTCTCTGTTAATCTAATTTTAGCATCTTAATTTAGTTCTATCGGCTATCTCTCGTTTTAGGGTTTCTGTCAGTATCAGCTAAATCGTCTTGCTAGATTAGATTACCTTAGACAACTACCACCCTGAAAATCAGTCAACAGCTTGATTGTCTAGATATTATGTTTCTTTTCACATTTAATGCTGCATCAATACATTCGATCTACTAAGTCGTGCTTAGAACCATAGTCCCTAGCCTGCTTTTGATTGCCAATAAAGGTTTTATCGGGGTTTCAGCCGATGAGTTATCTGGATGTTGCAACGGCTTATAAGGATTACATACAAGTTAGATTGGCCGATCACAACAAAGATTTTACTGTTTATCTAATCTTGTGAATTTCATGGCATCGGATCTTCAGCCGATGTATGCTTTAACCTTTGGATCAGTGCTTATTTGATCAACTCATTGTTAGCCGATTGGTTTCTACTGGATTATATTGTTATTTCATTATATTACCATCAACTGATTGTCAGATTCTACATCAACCATATAGCCGATAGCTCAAAATATTATCGCTATCGGCTGGTATCGGCATCGGTTAGAATTACTCTATCGGCTTATTAATTTGCTATTTGTATCTCTTGTCAGTTGTAGGATCAAACTGTCTGGCACGCACGTATCTCATCAACCTTTGGACCTACACTTGAGCTAAGCAGATCTCCCAGGCCGTTGTTTTCGTCGACTTAGTCCGTGCCAACACAGTTCCGGTACTATCGGCCGAGCGCGGATTTCTCGTCAACAGGTACATTCTTTTATATGGCCCTTTCGTATAAATCTGTTGATTCTTATAATGCACATTTTAATTTTTAAAAGTATCTGAGGTCTTGTTTGAATCTTCTGAAGATGAAGATTAAAAGCGGGCACGCAAAACAAGAAAGCTATTAGCGTGTGATTAATTAAGTTTTAATTATTACAAACTTGAAAAATGGATATATTTGATATTTTGAAGCAACTTTCATATAGAAAGTTTTCGTACAAAACGCGTCGTTTTGTAGTTTGAAAAGCGTGCTAACAGAAACCGAGGTAAAATCTTTATCTTCATGAGAAAAGAATAGTACCTAAGATTCTTTAAAGCGTTGATTTCTTGTAATATATATTCTTGACAGCCATAAAACCAATATTTTTTATAAAATACTTAAAACATGAATTTATCGGTATAGTTTTGTACCCTAATTAAATTTCATTAATTAAATGAAATTTAATTTTACTAACTATATATTTATCAAAAATCTACAAAGTTTGAATTTTTAAAATTAAAATATAAAATCAATGTGGGTGGTGGTCTTGGTGGAGTAATAAGTATATTAGTTATATATCAATGTAGTTATCAAGAAGGAAAGTACTATTTTTGTCATAAAGCATGTATGCATATGCATGTACCTCAAGACAACAAGCACATAGTAAATTTTGTAAGAGAAAGAACATAGGAGTATATTATATATTTAACATACAATCACTTAAATTATAGAGTAAGTACAACGATGGTTGGAGTGGTCGTAGAACTAGCAAGGAAGTTAAATCAAGGGTTAAATTAATTTTTAAGCCGTAGTGTTATAGTAATTTGTTTATGGCCCCGAAAAAAAAATCTAGGGATGTAATTTATGTTACCTAAAAGCTTTAGTTCGTATTGTGAAGAACTAAAGTGAACACACCAAACCAGGAAGACTAAGGTTGTGTTCGGCATCCCTTCTTCCCAACATCTCTCATTTGTTTTCTACACGCACGTTTTTAAAACTGCTAAACTGTGTTTTTTTTAAAAGTTTATATATGAAAGTTGCTTAAAAAATCAAATTAATCTATTTTTTTAAAAAATAGCTAATACTTAATTAATCACGCGCCAATGGATCGCTCCGTTTTCTGTGCGCTCTAGTCATGTTGGGAACCAGGTATGCCGAACACAGCCTAGGACATGTATTATGTATAAAAAACCGATGGTCACACACACACACTCTCTCTCTAGTAGCATGCATGTGTTTTTGCAATGTATGCTGTTGACTACTACCACTACTACTGCTACTAAACTAGTACTAATGTTGAAATGTACTAGTAGTACATATAGCATGAATGTACTCCGTGTGTTGTTTATACAAGAAAGGGAAAAAAAAGTTAATTAAACATTAATAGCTAGCTCGACATTTATGGTGGATGCATGAAGAAATCATTAGCAATAGTATTTGCATGGTAGTAGTACCTATGAATCATGATTTTATTGATGCAGAGGTGAACCTCTGCGCCGAGAGCAGTTTCAGTTGATTCAACATGCCTGCCGGAGCAAGCGGCAACAGAAAGGGTAACCGGAGTCACGGTCACCGCTACCTCGGCAGCGCTTGGCTTAGCAGCCATTGGTCGAACTTGCCCGGAGCTAGCAGCTTAACAGAGTTCCGATCAGTTGCTAATTCGCTACGGGGTAGATGCATGGCACGCTTCTTGCTCGGTTCTATATATAGTACTTTCGGCAGGCGGCAGCTCAGCTCAAAAGTCAAAACAAACGAGTAGTTGATGGTAACAACAACAAAAAAAATATATATTGCTGATGAAAAAAAAGGGGATAATTCACTTTATATTCTAGCATAAATTAAAGTAATTGAAAGATTCTGTGCCCAAAAAAAGGAAAAAAATAATAGAAAAGATCAATGATAGCTTGAGTTTTAGTTGACATATATAGCTCCAGCTCAGGATTGAAGTTTGGAACCCTTTGACTTCACACGGTGTACTGAAACGGTGATTTTGGGTGATTTGTAGCCTTATTATACTCACGTGGAGCTTATTATAGTCCAAGTTATATAAGATCATAAGATTTTGTTACGTGACATATAACCCCGTGCACTATGGTTTTAAAGTTTTACAAAACCACTCCAATAATCAATTTGGCATGCTCCTATATTAAAATTTTTGTAAAAACTTTACTTACATGAATGTAAGATTTATCTGATGGATAAAATACCCATAAATTTGAGATGTGATTGTAGAACTCAAAAGTATGGTAGATCAAAGTTAAAATGATTAATAGTGTGTTTTGTTAAACTTATGTGTCACATGCTAAAACTCATGCTGTTTTATTCAACTCAAATCATAATATTTAGGGTTAAGTGAAATTTACTATAACAAGAATTGAAAAAGAGAACCCCACCATAGATTTTAAAGCCTCACAAATTAAAAGAAAATTTTTTCCACCGTAAATTCTTAGGTCATACTTCATCCATTTCATAATATAAAGGCACAACTATTTTTTAGATGTTTCATAATATAAGGCATGTATGCATGCATGCACTTAACTAGTATCTTATCTCCACTAAATAATTATGTTTTAAATCCTTCACCTTCACCTTCAAGATCTCCAATTCTATTGAGTGCATGAATTATAATGCATATTGGTTCCTTATTCCACTAAACCTGTGTATGTTTTACTAGTTCTGTACTGTACTTGCTGTATATTTTTACTCATTTTTATATTTAATTTGGCTTTTAGGTACTTAATGATATGGATTTGTATGGGATAGGAGTAGCACTTTTGGACTACACATTTTATTGCACACTATTGAAATTTAGTTTTAGTTTATGCTTTAGATTAGCATTAGTTTTGCTTAGAACTTGTAGAGGTCATTTGTTATTATTTTCATGTGTTTTTTTAACTAGGATGGTTTGGAATGTATGGGTTATATCGTTATTGATTTATCTTATAACTGTCTGTCATCTAAACTAGGAGATAATAATTATTATTTTTTAGTGTTTGAGTTAAGGGTTATTGTGTCTTACATTTTGAAAGGAAAAGGAGTATTGGTCATCATTTATAGCCTCTCATATTGAGATAAATTTTCCTTGTTTGGTGGTTTGGAGTTGAGGAAAGGACTGAAATTCACCTACCTCACTACTTATGGATCCACGTGGCAGTGGGATGGCTGGTGATAGATTCATTGCTCACCATCAACATTAGAGTTTTTTTTAAAGAAGTTTAGAAAAGAGTAGCTCTACCTATAGCTCTAGTACGATCGATCAGCCTTGCCCAATTGCGCCTCATTAAAATGACTTAACGGCAATCAATTTGCACATTACTAGTAGTACACTACCAGGGAAGGTTTAGAAAGCAAATGATAATAATAGTACTACAACATGTGCAGCTGAAGTTGAGCATGAAGTGGATCCCTATGTTACCCTGATATGGGGATACGGATACACGATACGGGAATACGAGGACACGTCATTTTCTTAAAAACACCGATACGGGGATACGTCTATATATATTTAAAAAAATAAAAAATACAAAGGAAAAACATAACACATAAATAACTATAAGCCTGCAAATAGAGTTATACAAATTACATGACATCATTAGAGATAATTAGAATAAAACTTGTTCCGGATATAAGTTCAACTCAATAGAAGTTCAAGAGCTGCTTGCATTCATAGCCAGCGATGTGGTTGAAAGAGCTACATCCTAGACAGGTCCCATGCACCAGATCTTTTAATAGTACTATCCCAGGAGATCAAGCTCATCATGTAGCTTGCCCCTCGTAAATAATATGCTCCCATGCCTGGTCACAAGTGATCCTGATGAATCTGTAGCCGCGCTAGCAGTACATACTAGTGCTAGATAAGTGGTTAAGATTCCAATTCTAAAATTCACCGGATCTAAATGACAAGGAAAAACACATAACAAAACAACCAGGAAAAGAGGAAAGAACCAAATAGCCGGTGATGATGGACTGTACGCGTTGGGCTTGGTAGCCGGCGGAGAAGCTACGCCTGGTGACGGAGATGCCGCGACTACCGACGGCGGAGGCCCTGCGCCCAGGGGACCAGGGGTGGCGACGCGATGCACGGCTGGCGGTGGAGGCCCTACTCCTCAGGTGGCGAGCGGCGGCGGAACCCGGTGGCCAACCCGTGGAGGCCCTGTGCAGTGTGCCCCTGGTAGCGATGCAAGCGGCGCTGCAGGAGGATTGGATCTGCGCTTCTATGCTGCGAGCGTGGGTTCGTTAGTTCAGAAGTATGGGGAACGTATCGGAGAAGTATCCAAGTAATTTTCTTTATTTTATATCGTGGTAATTAGGGATACGTATCGGAGCGTATCTGATACGTATCCGTATCCGATGAAGTATCCGATACAGATACGTGGCTTGTGAGCCGTATCTGGTAGGTGGATCCTGCTGGAGTGACCTGCCTCCAAGCGCCAGACATACAGATATGTTTGGAGAGTCTCTATCTGTTGTAGTTTTTCTTTTTTCAGAATTTTTAACTCCTCAAAACAGTCTATATTTGGAGAAACTATAACTATTCGAAACAATCAGGCATGTCAAGGGTATACGACATGGTGACCCGCTATTCCCTTTCCTCTTCATCCTGGCAATAGATCCACTCCAGTGTATGCTAGACAAGACCACTAAAACATGAATCTTAAGCAAGTTGTGAGGTAGGGCAGTGCATTTCCGCACATCCATGTGTGCTGACGACGCGGCGGTCTTCATAAACACGATCAAGGAGGATGTATGCGCGTTCGCTGAGTTGCTCAACCGCTTTGGACAATCGACTAGATTATGCACAAACCTGCAAAAGCTAGTCCCACGTAGTCCTGATCAGGTGTGACAATTTGGACTTAGATGACGTCCTATAGGGCACGCCAGCTACCACAACCAACTTCCCAATGAAGTACCTAGGACTTCCTCTGACAGCTAGGCGGCTACAAAGAAGAGACCTCCAACCGCTTTATGATAAATCGATGAACTGCATAGCAGGGTGGCGGGGGAAACATAATGGACTGGCGGGACTATCTACCTTGGTAAAGTCGATCCTCACATCACAACCTGACTTCCTCCTGACGGGCCTGAAAGCTTCCAAAGAATAAGTCGAGATCCTTGACAAGCAGAGAAGGAAGTTCCTCTGGGCCGGCAGAGAAGCTTTGACAGGAGGGAAATATAAAATCAACTAGACATGCTGGAGGGCTGGGCATCCTAAACCTTGAAAAAGTTTGCAAGAGCATTACATCTCAGATGGTTCTGGCATGAGTGGAGGTCACCAGAAAAAGCATGGGTGGGATCAGGAACACCATAAGACGACACCGATAAATTCCTCTTCGCAGCGGCGATGACCTTAACAATTGGAGAGGAGCCAAAATAAGGTTTTCTGGGATTGGCTTGGTACCAGGGGCGACGCCTAAAGGATATAACACCGCTGGTCTACGCGACTACTAAGAAAAAGAGCGCAAGTCTACAACAAGCGTCGCAATCCGACCAATGGTTGGTTGACCTCAACCTACTGACAAGCTCAGGTTGGACGACGGAGCTAATTAGCCAACTCGTCAATGTCTGGGGTGTTGTCCACAACCTATAATTGACGGAACACGAAGAGGACAAGATCACATGGAAACTAACTAGCCACGGCGAATACACGACGGCTTCGGCCTACAATGCATAACTACTTGGCAAAGGAGCCAAGAGACGGCCCACCACCTCCTGGTGGGATGTATATACGTGAGGAGAATTTGGGCGGCAATAGCAGACTGGGCGACATGCAAACTACTAAAGCCAACGCAAATGGCAATAAACATCAACGCTCCTCGAGTGGTGGGAGGCTACTACAACACCAGTGAAGCACCAAAAAAGGCCCTACGGACGCTAATGCTGCTAGTCGCCTGGGTGATTTGGAACGAAAGGAACCGCAAGGTCTTCTAGCAAAAAGAGCTCCCGACGACCGGTATAATAATCAAAATGAAGGAAGAGGCCAGAATGGGCCTTGGAGGGAGTGAAACACCTCGCAGCTGGCTTACTCCCTCCGGTTTGAGATTAATTGATGTTATGGGTTACTCCCTCAGGTTTGAGTTTAATTTACGTTTTAGCTTTCTCCACTACTCTCTCCCTTCTATTTCTCCAGAATACCTCTCATGCATGCATGCAAACAGAAAAAAGTAACTGCTGATTGGAGTATTAATGAGGGGTATAACAGGAAATATGGATCTAATTAATACTGTCATTGGTATTTGCCATGATGTCCAAAACATCAGTTAATCTCAAACCGGAGGGAGTACGTTGTAACAATCTCGGGCCAAAGACCTTGAGCCTGTACTTTTTTCTTTCTTGTGCCTTGTGCCTGTACAGTTTTACTCCTTTATTCAATGAAATTGGCGGCTCGCCAATTCATTAAGAAAAAAAAAGAAATCATAAGATGGAAAACTTAACTTTTCCAGATTCTTATAAATTGGCCATATCTCTAATCTTCTCCAAATACAACCATAGTCTCGCTTGTTCATAAATTTGTTTGCTGTTCAGTGTAGTGGACTTTGGAGTTCGGAGTACCGTAGACACTCCCACACCAGATACTTCCTTTGGTTTTAGATATATATTACGCCGCAGACTTCTAGGCATAATTTGAACAACGCATCGTCTTGCTCAATAGTACATGAA